GCACTTACAGAAGCAAGTTATACTCTTGTCAAGTTGATCCAACGCTTTGACACCCTCGAGTGCGCCGACCCAGAATTGAAACAGCCCGCGATCCTGTCTACTCTCACCATGTCGCATGATCGGGGTGTGAAGGTCAGACTTCACTCATCAGTGCAAAAAAACTGATTTGACCAGATATTATGCAATGCTTGAATGTCTTAATGATTATGACTGTACATAATGGCATACCCTGGATACAGGTCGCTCTAGGCTGTATGTTATGTATTAGCTGAAAGTCTCCAGGATTTATCTGCGCTAGACTACTCTTCCGGTACAATATACCAGTAATAAAGAATGTTTTCCAAGAATAGACCTTAGTAAATCAACTCAATCGAGTATCAACGCTCGATTCGTATACTAAGTTCTAGCCATGAACAGGTCTTGTGCCTAAGGCACCAAAGTACCCAACATGTGTAGAAAAACCCCAGCCACCTGTGGCTGATATAACATGTGGCGCACTTCCGTCTGGTCACTGGATGAATATCGCCCATTGATTCAGCCGTTTGAAGCTTTTAAATCACATCCTCAAATTTCACGAAAAGTGAATAAGAAAGAAGTAGCATTCACATTCCTCGCATTGTTATTAATTATTGAGGACTTGACCAGTCAATCAAGCATCGAATCTAATTGAGTATTGAATTACCCATTTGAATTTCACTATCACTACATTCACTTCAACATCGTTCTGGTCGGATCTTTTTCTCTCAAGAACTTTTGTACGCAAGGACGCGCATCGCGTGGAGTGAAATTTATTTTCAAGCCCATCGCCCTCCGTGCTCGGAAACAATGACCAGCACATCACAAGCTGCGCCGAAATTCCCCACGGTACCAGTTGTGGTACCCAAGATGGAGTACCCATCTGAACAAGGCCCCTTGAAGGTCTCGGAAACAAAGCCAAACAATAGTAATACGAACCAGACCAATGTCATCAAGTCCGAGGGTGACAACACAACTGTCAACACCACATCATCCCCGGCAATACAACAAGACTCCAATGCAAGCAAGCAGGTCTCTGAGTCGGAAATGCAGCTCGTATCATCTCTCGCAAAACTCCAGGAATTGGAGGCTATGGTTTGTCTTAACATCCGCTTATCCTTGGGTATACATGGCTAATATGCGATGCCAGATTCATCAACTGCGGACACTGCTCCCGGACCGTTTGTTGGAGCCTTTGGTGCCTATTGTAAATCCAAAGGCTGCGGCAGGGAGGGCAGTACCCAGGTCGCCGCAGATGCTGTATGAGCAGCTTTCGCAAGCTGCGAAGGCTGGTGTCGCCGAGGTGACAGAGTTTCAGAACATGTGGCGCAGCCCTGAAATGAACGCTGTGTGGCAACGTGTCGATGCGCAGATCAAGGAGAATGGCGGGCAATTGTTGCAACCGACCGGTGTTTGGGATCGGAATTATGGTACCCTTCTTGAAGAACTTGTCAAGGAGGAAAATGCAAGGATGGAGCAGCAGCGGAAGTCTGAGGAAGAGCTCGAGCGTTCGAGGATCCAGTCGACTGAAGGGTTTTGGAGGGCGATTGTCGACAGATTCGTCCAGAAGAATGTGCCTGGAGTGCGAGTCTTGCCGAGTAAATCTGAGACGGCTGTCACTATTGTCCTACCAAAGGCCGGTATGACATTCAAGGTACATACGGTCGGTGGATCAGAGGTGAACGGCGTGCCTGAATGGCAGGTCTCGAACCGAACGATGCCTGGTCAAGCTAAGACGAAACTCGAGAGCGCAGCATCCGATTGTTTGAACTCTCGTTCGCGACAGTGGGACCTCGCCTATCTTCTTGTGGGTGATTTCCTCCACCTACCCCAAGTAAACAAGCTAACAAAGACCAGGACATGATATCATCTTACTCCGATGTTAAACAAACACCCTGCATAAAGTGCGGCAAGATGACAGACAACGCAGCACAACTACCGGTCATTCGGCAACAGAAGCAGCTGTCTGAGCCCCAGCAACCACCAATCTGGGAAGCTTATCACCCAAGCTGTATCTGATTATTCGACCCTCATCATATCAATAGCACCACTATTCCTATAACATCGGCTGTACTATACATTGCCCCATTATCGGGCGCATTACAACTCAATATTTGTCAAGATACCATGCTTTCTCATCTAGTTAAACAACCAGACCACCACAAAACTACATTGAAAACCATACTCCAGGACGAGGAATCTTAGACTACTTCCCCCTTGGATGAAACCTCTTCCCCCCCCCCACCAGAAAAAAAAGGCTGGCTCATACGAGAGCTCCCTCAAATATGGATCACAGACACCTTCCCTATAGTGACTAGTTCAGTCAACACGACCATGCCCTGTCCAAGCCTATAACTCTTATTCCCACCCCCAAATATCTATCCAGCCTACCTACAAGCCAAAGCCAACGATAACCAAAGGCATCCCTCCAGAGCAAGGATTAGACCAGATCCAGGAAGTATCAAGCTTTAGTCTTTACCGAATCAACCTGGATGTGTATCATCTTGTAAAAAATGATCCGTTTCGCAATTCAATACGAAGAAGAATGAATTTTGTACTTGTGGCTAAGCGATATATATGTATTTACAACTATTAGCCGGGTAAGAGGGTATTAAGTTTTAGTATTGAACTGGCATGTTTACTCGCTTAGGGCGGTTTGTTCTTTGTTCTCTTGTATGGCCCTTTTCTGTTTTTGTTGTGGAGTCGGGTAGTTGTTGTACTATCGTAGTGAACTAGCATGTGGTTGGGGTTGGTGTAGAATAGCCTAGTAAGTCTGCAGTTCGTTGCTGTCTGGGCAACGTGATTGTTTTGATGCATTTGCTTGCTCTGAATTCTTCACAATATTTAGACCTCATATACATCAGGCCCTATTAGCTATTTATTTATTGACAGTATCATATAAAACAATGACTAACATCATATAGAATAATTATAACAATCCCGCTGCTGCTCTAATCGACAAAGAGGGGGAGAAAAAGAAAATCCAAAACCACAATCCCAACCATATTGCACAATTCAATCACATAAACGCCAGTCCAGCCTGCTGATGATCGCTATCATGAGAAATTGCTCAGCTAAATGCAACGCAGTAACGGTAACGTATAACTTCATCAATGGTCGGTTTTGAAGAATTACGTGAAGAAGACACCGGTGCCGCTTGCGAACCAGGTGAAGGATGCGACGGTGATAGCGGCCATGCCGACGGCGAACTTGATCGCGTTGCGTTCGGCGCTAGTGAGGGCACTGTTGCAAGTAGCACAGACGTAATCTAGGGCGCGTTAGTGTTAGCTTGTTTAGAAACGAGGCTTGAATGACCATGGGAGAAGGGAGAACGTACGGTCAAGTGGGGTGTAAGACTGCGGAGTGTACATTCCGAAGTTGTAACCGATTTGTGAGCCCAAGTGTCCAGCAGAAGCAGTGTCTCCAAGCGTGGAGTTCACATCGTAGACATACAAAGTGTACGTCGCGGTCAGCAGCGGAACCGTCGCATTAGATTGGTATTTCTTGGTATCCCAGACAACCTTGCCAGTTTCCGAGACGCTCATGTTGCTCGCGATGGTATAGGTTTCACTATTCTTGCTGCAGGATGCGACGACGTTGACGGCCGACGGTGTCACTTGAAGCGATGTGTATTTCCATTGGAAGGTCACATATTCGCCGATCTTATAGTAGGTAGTGGCTCCGGCAGAGGTAAGCATCGAGATACCACCCACGGGGTCCCGAGGATCGATCGAGGTAGACGAGGCATCGGTGCCCGTCTTCGTCGACTTGCCCGTCGCTTTTCCAGTCTTTGTGCCAGTCGCTGTCCCTGTCTCTTTGCCTGTCTTTTTACCGGTTTCTGTGGCGTCGCTCTGGGTTTCGGTCTTCGTGGCGCTCTGCTCAGTGGTAGCAGCAGCACCGGTTGTTGCTTTATCAGCAGCAGTCTCTGCAGAGGTTGTTTCTATAGAGATCTGTTGGTTATTGAACAAAGCATGATCGCGGTTCCGGATGATACTCACCCGCTCTAGCCACGACTTCACCGTGCGGGTGTGGCCAAGCCGAGACCATGCCCAGCAAGACTAGGAGGCATAATACAGGAAGAAGAGCGATGGACCGCATATTGACTTGAATCGAAAGATTCACTGCCTAGTTTGAACCACAAGATGGAGGATCGATGGACCCCTGGAGATCTCAAATTTAAGTCAACGGTCGGATCGGTGGCCCCCCTAGTTCCGAGCGATTGTGTCCAAGTCACGAACGCTGGCCGACGGTGGATGGATGAACCTAGCGAGGTGTATCGTGTTCAATGCAATGCTGACGAATGGTTCTGCGCGGAAGGAAATGGTAACGGGGGGTTGTAAAAGTCCTATTCGAGACTGGTGGGCCGGTGAAACATGCAGATCGGCTGATATGATATGATATGAGGGGACCCTGAACGAGTAAACAAAGCGAGTGACTGGGATTGTAACAACCCAACGTGTTGTAGTGGGAGGGCAAAAACGAGGGAAATGGGAAAAAAGAAAACACAGCAATCACAAGTGACTACAAATAGACAAAAGGCATTGGAAGGTCTGGTGAAAAGGACGATGAGAAAAGACCAGCGGGAACGAAGAAACAACTTGATTAATTGGTGTTGTTCTAACCTTTTTGGGCGCATGTGAGACATTTTGGGCTATTTTTGGGGCGGTTGCCGGCCTGAGGCAGTCGCGCGACCGTGTGATTTCTTCAACCCATTCGTTCAAACTAATTTCGTTCTTGTTGCCGATAAACTTATCATGGCTTTTTTTTTTTTTTTTTGTGACGTACCGGAATTATTGTCAAAATAATCTCCATGCTTTTTTTGTCTACTATATCTCTGAAAAACCGCTACGATCTGAATGCTTTTCTCTCCCGTCAAGGGTTTCCCCGGTCGCTTAACCTACCACTGAACAACTATTGACGACTATTGGATGCGCACCATGTTTATTGAATTTTTCTTCTTTTCTCTGGCTATTGCTATTTATCTGTAACATCAGGGTCATTAAGTACCGAAGATCGTCAACCACGGTGTAATAATATACACTCAAAATCCAAAAACTCATCCCAACCGACTCATTATGATTATTAGCATTAAATCAGCATATACATGTATCCAGGTATTGATACAATCATCTCAGGGACCAGAACGTCTTAACCCGATCCCCTGTGGAAGCACCACTCACGAAGCCTCGGTCACTTCGAGACCCATGGCAGGCCAGTGGCAAACCTCGTGCAGATTCTCCGCTTTAGGAAACTGGTTCGACGTTGAGTTGAACCTTGCTGCAGGAGGAGGGAATTGTAGGCTGGAGGTACTTCCACAGATAGAAGAGCTGGGGCGCATTGTGGTACCAGTCGCAGACTATTGCGGGGATGTTAGTGGCGAGTTCCTGACATTGGATTGAGGGCTCCACTAGAAATGGAAACTTACCCAACCAGCCGCCGAATCCCTGCTGTTCCGACCACTCCAGACTGTCACCGTTGATGGAGAAATCACTGTTACCATATCCGGTGTTGATCTCGACCGGCTCCCACGCTGTGGAAATGTTAATCCTAATGTTCCTGTGCCCCGAGGGCAGGAGAGGGGGGAAAAGCTTACCGCCGTAGTTGTTCTGTGGTCGCATTACCAACCCCCAAGGAAAAGGTGTGTCGAGACTGAACTGGACATTCGTGCCGTTCAGGAATGCCGGGCTTGCGGTACCAACGTCCGAGGTGAGAACAGCATCGTTAAATCCAGCACCGGTGTGGTAGCCGTAGACGTAGAGGTCGTTGTGTGCCGAGTTGTCAGCGCCAGTGGTCTTGAGATGGAAAAGGTCCTTGGGCGTGTCGCGAGTACGGAGAATGGGGTTGGCCGCCACGGCGGAGACCAGCAGAGCGAGCGAAGAGAAGAACTTCATTGTGAAAAGAACTCGATGTTTTTTTTTGGGAAAATTAGGCGCGATAGTAATAGGTATTCTTAAAAGATAATCTAGCAAACAAGAAGGAGAAGAAAGACAGGTTGGTGAGGATTGAAGATTGAAGATTGATGAGGAATGTGGAATATATGATCGCGGGGTGGCAAAGGGAGGCGATGGGATTGAAGTAACTATTTATGCCCGAATAGCCACCGCACCACATGCACTTTCTCCCTTGACTGTGGAGAGGATATCGGCCCCGATTCCCCGAGCAGTGGAATGGTTAGTTACTGGTTTGCTATCGTTCAACGGAAACAGGGAAAAAAAAAAAAAAAAAGGAAAGGAAAGAAAAGCGAAAGAAAAAAGAGTAAGTGGCACTACAGTTGGGGCCACTCACTGACTTGGCAGTAGAGGGAGAGCTCCACCGAACGCGGTTGTATCCTTTCCACTTGGCCTGCGTAAGAATTCATGGAACTGGGTCTTTGCAGCGGAGATCCTTAGCCCAGTGGACCAGTGAAGTTGAGCGATCGTCGGTTGCTGGGGAATACAGACGCGGAGAATTGCTAAGATGCTGAGACATACTCCAACACACACAGTCTACTATGTATGATCGGTTTATTTCTGTAGAATTATTTCCCTCAAAGTGCACATGTACACAGTATGTATGTACAGTACAGTACAGTACATCATGTATGATTCCTATTCTCCGTGCGGCAATGCATTGTGTAGTCGATGTGGATAAAATCTGATACAGACTTACTCCATAATGTACATCATGTTTCTTTTTTAGGTGGTCTTGAAAATGTCTCTGAGGCTCCTGATTGAATAGATCTCATACGTCTTAAATTAAATCCAACTGATCTTCGCTTCTATTTTTGTTGATTCCTCCACGATACTGCACACACCTGACATCGACATTAAAGGACCACTGCATAAGTTTTTTTTCTCACGCCGCTCGGTTTTTTGGACAATTTTTTTTTGGCAGATAAGGATAACCATATCAATTCCATGGGTTCAGCCTCTGGCTACTGTCATACCCCATAATCAATTACGTCGAGAATTGTCCTTTCGGCTCTTTTCTCCACCTCGGATCCATGGGTGAGCCACCATTGACCATACAGGAACAATTCTGCAAGGATTGAACAAAACCACTCTGAGTATTGCGATTCCATATACGCTAATATGCAAGGCTCAATCATAATAAGCAACTCAAGGCCAGCCAATGTTGGAAAATATGGGAATCAGGAAGGGGGGAAAGGACAAGGAAAGGGTGGGGAAAAGGTGGGCGAAAAATAGGACCAGTATCCTTTAATCTTCTATACAAATGCATTCGATTGATTGTTTACATCATGATCATCGGGTTCCACTAAGTAAGCTTGGGACAAAATCCCGTCTTGCATCACTAGTAATCATAATTGTTCCTTTCCTTATGAACCCGTGTGGACGACACCGATCTCTTAATATCCCTGCGAAGAAAACGAAGTTGCGAGTCGTGGCCCGCCGGGTATATTCTGATATTCCACTAGCCTATATGGAGAGGGAGAGGGAGAGAGAGTTATATTTTGAAGAATTATATGTCTTTGTATTAAGTATTATATAAACCATATACAGTTGGCAAAGGATAGGGATGGACGATACCCATTCAAGTAGTATACAAACCCAAACTCCTTCCCTTCTATAGCCACGGAACTCCGTATCCCAAGCCCAAGCCAGTGTTAAGAGCCCATCCACGGCAGCATGCTATTTAGTTCTAAACAATACCCACTACGCCAATGCCTCTAGTATCATCAAGCTTTTGTCCCAGCTCATCAAGCCACGCACGGAGCTGGGAGGAAGAGAAACGCCAGGGTTAGGGGGAAAAAAAAGCAGGAAACGACCAACTATCTCTTCTTAGCGTACTCAGTCTTCAGAGACCATTTACCTCGACCGTTCCGTCCACCCTTCTCCAGCACAGCAATGGTTTTAAGCATTTCCTTAAACTCAGCTGATCGTTGTGGTGTGGTGCAGAAACGGTTGAAATGGTCAATCAGCATCTGCGTATGAACGGACCCGCCGTGGGATACAATAAAGTCTCGAATCATCGTCATGAAATCCGCTCCACTAGGTGCCTTGCCTGGCGCGGGGCTGTTACTGCCGCTTCGGGAAGAAGGAGTGCGTGCAGAAAGATTGGCCAGGATGCTAGCTGATGACGGTCCGGCTGCAGCTCGTCTCGCAGAACTGCTACCTCCACCGAAGGCCGGGCGTGCTGTGGGCTCCTCTGGCCTCCCAGCAAGTCCGAACTGACCTGTCCATGTTGGCGTCCCAATGGGCACAGACCGTGCTGCTTCTCCCGCTCGGCGCAGCTCCTCGGCGGCTTCGGCGGCGACCTTCTTCGCTTCCGCTTCGATAATCTTGGGATCCGCACGTACAACCCGCTTGCCATTCACGATCTGATCATGCTCGAGCGCGGAATGAACGCCAGAGCGGGCGAAGATGCCCTCCATGATACGTGACTCCTTATTAGCACCGGGAGGTCCCTGGTCTTTGTCGCTCGCCGGCTCCGAGTCGCCCTGAAAGTTCTCAATTGATGCTACACCTTCAACACGGCTAACGTCTTTCTTCTCATCTTGCTGGTTCCTCGGGTGACTCTGTACGCGGGTACCTGTGCGTGTCTGCTGAGTGGTCGTGCTACTTCCCTCTTCATAGGTGATGTCGGCTTCTTTGAAAATCTTGCTTGTTTCCGTTGGGCCTTGGCCCTCTTCTCCGAGAGAAAATAAGTCGTGCAAATCGCTTAGTTGGAAAGTCTGTCGTTGCTTAGGATCCTTCAATATCTTGTTAGTGAGGAATTGCTTGAATATTTGTCGGTGATAGATTTTTTCCTCGATTGTCCCAGCGGTCATCAATCTATATACTGTAACATCGCGCTTTTGTCCAAGCCGCCATGCTCGCTCACGGGCTTGCACATCGGTTGATGGGTTCCAGTCGGGATCATAAATGATCACCCGATCAGCCCCGGTTAGATTTACTCCCAACCCTCCTACCTTTGTGGTAAGGAGAAACACGTGAAGATCCGGATTATTATTAAATTCGTCAACCATCGATTGCCGATGGGCGATAGGTGTGGTGCCATCCATCCGTCGATAATTGAACCCCGACAGAGATTCCACAAATTTTTGAAGGATGTCCAACATAATACGATGCTGTGTAAATAGAAGGGTCTTATGCCCCGTATCTTTCCACAGCTCAAGGAGTGACTTGACGACCTGCATTTTGCCCGATTTATCAGGGTCACCATAGTCTGTTTTATGTGACGTAAGCTTGTGGCTCTGTAAGTCTGGGTGGTTGCAAATTTTTCGCAGAATATCCACTCCATATAACACCTGCCTGCGGCCTCTGAGAATAGATTGCATCTCTTCAGAGCCGAGGAATGTCTTATACGCCTGTCTCTGCAACTTCGTGAGCTTGCAGAACAATACTTGCTCGCTCTTCTTAGGAAGGTCCGCGGCAACATCGATCTTGAACCGCTGCAGGAGATACGGGCTGATGGCATCTTTTAAAGTCTCTGCACATTTCGCTGCTGTTTGCACTTGTAAGTTTGAAGCATTAGCATATCCGCCCTGACGGATGGGGAACTCGAACTGATTTCGAAAGTTCACCAAGGTCCCCAGACGCATGGGGAAAACAAAGTCGAACAACGACCAAAGTTCTGTCAGGTTATTCTGTATCGGTGTGCCTGACAGAATGATCCGATGTGGTGTCCGGAGTTCCTTGCAATGGATAGTGATCGAAGTGTTGGGATTGCGGATCTTGTGGCCCTCATCTAGCACAGCACAGCCCCATTCCACTGGAATTAGAAGAGGGGTATAGGTCTGCAGGCCGGAGTACGTGGTCACCAGAACATGGCCCTCCTCTACCACACGTTTGACGACTTTTCTCCCGGCTTTTAGCCCACCCAGACTGCGGCGGCTATCCCACGTCTGAGACAGAAGCGCGTCTTCCCTACTACTCTCACTTCGAATATTTACCATTCCACTGCCGGAGGTGTGCAGAATTGAGACACGAAAAGGCGGCCACCAGCGGTGGAACTCATTAACCCATTGTTTCATGACAGTTGCAGGACACACAATAATGACCGGCTTTGTTAGCTTTTTGCTGTAGTGAAGCCCGGCCAGGAAAGAAATGACTTGAATTGTTTTCCCAAGTCCCATTTCATCCCCAATAATTCCTCCTACTTGCTGCTGCTGCAATTCCCATAACCATTGCACCCCTGTCTTCTGATAGTCAAACAACAGGGGATAAATGTCACCAGGGATACGGTATCCGTTGTCATACTCCACGTCGGGTACACTGGGATGAGCCATGAACCACTCCTCCTGTTCTTCATGTTCATGAGCGTCTGTACTGCCCTGCAGGGCACGCTTCCGCGCAGCACTCCTTCGTGTGACCCAATTCTGAAGCCTGGATTGATAGACCTTCTCGTTTCCATCATCCAGCCCGCTGAAATCCTCTATATCGTCTGGGGTCTTCTTGGCCTTGCTTCGAGTTGCGGATTGCGGCGGCGTTCCCTCGGGTACAAAGTCCTCCTCATCTTCTGATAGCGACTTTTCCTCTTCCGACGCTACATAACTTGCTGAGCCATCGTCCGAAGCTACATCTTCCACATTTGTTGCTATCTCATCTGTTTCCTCAGAATCCATGGTTGTCTCTCTGTCCTTAGCCATGTTGGTCAATTTTCTCCGCTTTTTGGGATAATCATCCACTTCCATAGATGTTTCGCTCGCTTCATCAAAGCCAAAGCTAGGGCGCACAAGGTTTCGGTGAGATACCGCAGATCGGTTTTTGACTTGTTCCAATGCCTCTCTTTCGTCGCGCTCGTCTTCGGCGTCGATGAGAGCGTCATGCAGACTAGCAAGGGGTCCCTCATTCGGGCCGGCACTCATTTTGGAGAATGGTGTTATCTTCCCTGTTCGGATGAGATAATCCCTGCGAGACTCATTAGGCATTCGACCTGTCCCCATAGCGGCCCCACCAGATTCCTGTCCTTCATGTCTTTCATTAATACGTTGCTGTATTTCTTTGAGGTCATTTGCCAACGTGGCATTACGGGTTTCTAGTTTTTGAATCTCATTCTGTAGACGGACCCGGGCAGATGTACCAACTGGCTGGGACATTCGCTGGTGTGCTTTTAAAATCTGAGCTTCAAGCTTTCTATAAGAACGTTAGAATATGTCTCAAAAAAAGCCTTTGCCACCGATGTTTATACTCTTTTTCATGTGTTGTACGTTCTAGTCTTCTATTGTCACGTTCGTCTGCTTGCTCCGTGAGCAACCTGTCGGCCTATATACATTAGCAAACAAGAACCCTAAGCGGCACGGTGACAGATACCTGACGAGAAATATCTCTCTCGAGGTCATCCTGGTCGCGAACGTCGGCTTGAAGCTCCCGTAGACGGCTCGTTTCATCTGTGCCCATTGCAGAAGCTTGATCTGAGTGAACTGGAATTGTTGACGAGACTGCATTTGAGAGCATCGCTTGTTTGTCCTTGATGTGCTCATTCTGAGCCAAGGAGTCCGGACCGCCCTCCATGTTGTTGTCCATACTCGGTGAAGAAAAGAAAAAATTAAACAAATGTGAAGCTGCTGCTATACCAAAATCTTCGAATTACCAAATGAGGAGAGACTATGTACGAAGTAAAGTCTCGATAGAGGAGTATATCTTTAAAGTAAGAAATTATCCAACAAGACTGTCTCAAGATCTGTTGGCGCAGTACATGATTCAACGGGTAGTTTAAACCAGGATACTGCTTAGAGACCTCGGAAAAGGAAAGGTCACTCTAAGACTGAGCTTAGATTATGTTATACAGTTCCCTGCGTATCAGTCATATGCATCAGGAGGATTAGTACAAGTATAACGTGAATGAACCAGCAAGGCCTTCACAAGTATTATCCATGTCTTGATAATCATAATTACGGCAGAATGGTTTCACCGATTGTGAGTCACTGACCGCCTTCGGGGCTGGACTGTCCCAAACTGACTAACCAGACGTTCGTCATGGCTTAGCCTCCCACGTCACTGGTGGCATCAGCGTTGGGGCCACTGGGCCGCCATACGGAGTATAGTCTGGATTGGGTATTAATCTAACTTTTTTGTTGACTGATTGATGCCTATCAATTGTGATTCTAGGGCTCATCTCTGTTGAATGTCGAGCATGCCACTAAATAGCGGGGAATACCTTCTTTGGCCTAATTTAGTTCCGCCTAAGTTGCATGCCACGGGAGATACCTAGTGTTTAACTTACGAAGCTGTCTTTTTCATGCTGCAAACGTCAACTGACTTTTGTATAGTACATACTGTACGAGCTGGACGGGTAATTCGGGTTGTATACTAGGCATCATGGCTTGGGACTTGGTACACATAGGTACGATATAATCATTCTGAATCCGCTTTGCGACCTAACTGTGCCGTAGCAGTTACTGAGTAGTAATTATGGAGGTATTGTGTGTTCTTTCAGTGGAACAGACGCTAAGAGGCTGGTTGGGCGAGGTAAAAGTAAACAAATACTACTTGGTAATATGTAATATTAAGGAATGCAGTAAATAATAATGACAGCCAACCTAACCCTATACGAAGAAGTTTAACATAATACAAATAAAAAGGTCTTAAAGAAAAAAAA